AGTATCAGGAGGAAAGTGTACAGGAGGAGACAGTCCCATTTGATGAGAAGAGCACCTCCATTGGAAGTCATCCCAAGTCCAGCCCTGAAGCAATTCTTGGGGAATTTTAAATTGTGATAAGTCCTGAAAGCCCCAGGCCTGGAATATGTATTTAAGAACCTGATGGTGAACTCCCACTTGTGTTTGCTGTGAAAGTGCCTATATAGGTTTCCTGTCATGTTTTGGCATCCCGGCAGGTTGGTGGCCGAAAATTCTTTTTGATTTATATCTTAAGTTGATGGCTTCTGCACATAGGTGGTATGAGCATGCTCCTTCATTGACGAGTTTATGTAGAACATACATGCTGCATTGTCTGTATTTTTATTGATCTGCTGTGAATAAGGGGAAGGAAATATTTGCATGCATATTTGACAGCATGGAGATCGAGCACACTGACATGGGTTGTTGTCTCACGGGCAGCGATCTATCTTTGATTGTGTGGTTGAGATGTGCCCCCCAGCCCTTCAGAGATGTATCTGTAGTGAGCAATAGGGTGGGTGTGATATGTTGGAAGGATACTCTGGTGCACAGGTTTTGTGGCTGTACCCGCCAGCCTAGGAAGCATTTTACTTTGGGTGTGTCTAGACTACAGAGTTTTGTCGACAAAAGTGGACTTGTCGACAAAACTATACCTGCGTCTACACTACCGCTGAGTTCTGTCGACATAATGTCGACAGAACTCAGCAGTTTTGTCGACGCTGGTAAACCTCATTTTACGAGGCATAACGCCTTTTGTCGACAGAGTTCTGTCAACAGAAGGTGTTATTGCATGTAGGATTGTGTCTAAACTACAGGGTTTTGTCGACAAAGCAGCTTGCTTTGTCGACAGAACTGAATTAGTCTAGACGCTCTATGTGGACATAAGTTTTGTCGACAGTATCTGTCGACAAAACTTCTATCGACAAAACCCTGTAGTCTAGACGCACCTTTTGTTTAGAACACTAAAGCGATGTCTACACTGTGCATTGTTGCGCAAGATATGAAATGAGGTGCAGCAATGAATATCGCTGCACCTCATTTGCATACCTAATGAGCCACCATTTTTGTGGAAGGGGCTTTTGCACAAGAAGGAGCGGTCCAACCTGTGGGCCTCCATCCTGTGGTCTTTTTTGAAGTCAAAGTATCTTGAGTAAAACTCCACTCTCTTCTATTGGCTGGGAACCTGTTCTATGGCTCTTAGTTGCAGGAGATGCTATATCTCCTGCTCAACAGAATATCATGGGAGGGGTCCCTGAAGAGACACAGAGAAGGGCCTTGTGTAGCTGGGATGGATACGAAGGGAATGGAGTAGCTCTGTGATACTATTTCCAGTACCCATCTCTCTGATGTAATTTGCTCCCAAGTTGTGTAGTGTGTGAGGAGACAGAAGGTGAATTCTTGCTTGTGGTGTTGGCAATCCGGTTGTGGAAGTGTTATTGAACACAACAAAAATTTCAAAATGACTGATGTGAAGTAAATGGTTGAGATGTTGGAGGCTGTTTCTGCCTGTGTGTCTGATCATATGCACGCTGTTGCTGGTTGTAAGGTGACTCATGGAATTGTTGTGTATAATAGCACCCCTTTCTTGGGTTGAAGGACATACATAACCAGCTCGAGTCACCCTGGAGTTTAAGGTATGCAGGGAGGCATCAGTAGTCTCCGCAAATAATTTCTGGCCTTCAAATGGTAAATCTTCTATTGTTTGTATCTTAGGGAATCCAGAAAGGAGAAGCCAGGGCGGGTATCTGTTGTAGGACTACTGCCATTGCCAGAGTTCTAACAGCAGTGTTGGCAAAGTCCAGTGAAGCCTGCAAAGAGGTCTTTGCTACGAGTCATTCCTCTACTATATTGGATTTGTACACATCTTTGTTGTCCTCTATCAATAAAAAGCCTCATTTTCTTGAGCAAATTGTAGGTGTATTTCACAGAATGGAGTAATTAGCTATACGTAACTGTAGGGAGGCCGATCAGTATGCTTTCCTACCAAAAATGTCCAGTTTTTTTCCAGTCTTTATCATAGGGGTTTGTTTTGAAATGTCCTGTGTTGCACCGTCTGTATGATTAGTGAATATGGGGTGAGGTGGGAAAAAAGAAATTTGGCTCTCTGACCTAAGACATAATATTTCCAGTCTGCTTGCTTTGAAAGTGGCAGGATGGATGTGGGGTTTTGTCATATTACCTTGGCAGGGACCATTAAAACGTCGTTTATCGACAAAGATAGCTTTGCTGAAGGGGAGGGCTATAGAATATCTGTGAGTTTGTGTTTCTAGCAACTCTGCAAGAGAGGTCTAATGATTCTGCCACTCTTCTGAACAAATCTTGGAAGGATTTGAAGTAATTTCCAATGGTAGCTATGATAGTCATAGGGGCAGGAGTCTCATCTGGGGACAATGATGATGACAGGAGTGCAGAAGGCATGCAATGGTCTTCCTGTATGTACTCCAAGTCCTCTGTGTCCTTTTGAGGTGTTTCGAGATGAGGCTGAGATGGGAGTTCTTGCCTTTGGGGACCAGGAAGAGCAGGTTTTTGCACTCTATAGAGGGTCCATGGGTCCCAGCTTGGCCAAGTGGTAGGAAGGGGAATGGGAGTCATCCATGGGAATGTAATTCTGATACCTTAGGCGGAGGCGGTGTCGTAGATTTGGGGGATGAATGATGAGGTAAGAAAAGTCTTTTCTTCAGCATCATCCCTTGAAAAGGATGGAGCAGAGCTAGTTGGTATTATTAGTCTGCTAGGCCCTTGGTGCATCGGAGTACCATGGGTACCAAAAAGCAGAGTGCACACAACTGAGGATAAAGTCAAGTCTGCATGTGGTCTCAGTACAAAGAAGGACAGTACCAAAGATATGGCTGAGTCCACAAAGGAGGTAGGCGGTCTCAGTACAGAAAAGCTCAGTGCTATTTTTTACACCAGGTCCGTGCCTGCCTATATCGATGTGCCATCAGCACAAGAGCTTGAGAGGTAGGTTCTTTTGGTGCCATCAACTCCTTTGATGCTGGTACGACCATCTTCTTCTTGGCCTTTGAGCCTGTTGGAGGCCATGGCTGTTTGGAAGCCTGAGCCCCTCAGGACTTCTTTATACCAGATGTGCTCAGCATCTGGTGGTCCGAGGACAGTACCATCAAAACCAAGGTGGACTTGGGCACCAGCAGGCACTTTGAGGGAAAATCCTTCCCAGGAAAGGATAGTCTCTTGTTTAGAGCAGGGGTGGGGAACCTAAAGCTCCGAGGCTGGATCTGGCCCCCCAAGGCTCTGGGCTGTCTCCCAGCATTGCAAAGCCCTTGCTGGTGGTGTGCGAGAGGAATGTGGGGAGTTTTTCTCCTTCTTAATTGGAGGCCACATCAGTGAAGATTTGGGGTTTTTTTGCTTCTTTCTTGTGTGCAGCCCCTGACTGCGTTTTCTGTGGGTTAGCTGCCCTGATTCAAAAAAATGATCCCCACCATTGATTTAGAGGTTTTCTTAGTTGGAGGGTCCTGCGGATGGGGATCCTAATCTGAAGTAGCTGTGGGTGATTTTTGAAGTGATGGAGTCTGGGACTCTGGCTCAGAAGCCGGTCTCAATTATTTTTCCAAGAGGAGCAGTTTTAATTGGCAATCCCTGCCCTAAGAGATCTCTCTGACAGCTTTTTACAGTTAGGGCATTTCTATGGAACTTGTGCATCTCCAAGGCACCCAGATGCACAGAGCATAAATGGCCAAAAGCCTTAGGCATCTGTTGGCAGCAAGAGATCACTAAATTATGATCTTTCTGGCTACGTCTACACTGCGGGGTTTTTTTTTTTTTTTTTTTTTGGAAGAGGGAAAGTTGAACTGGGGTAGTAAGAAAGAAAAGAAGGAACCTGTGAATAGGTTTGGGGAATAAAGGAATTTTACCAGAAATATGAAGCAAAGAGCTGCTGTGTTCTGACCTAAGCCAAATGTAGTAGAGAAGGAACTGACGGACGGTTGATGATGTGCTTCAGTTACCATTTGCTGCATTGCACATAGAGATGGCACTGCATGCATGTTCCCACCAGGGATACTGCTGGTATAAATCTCAGATTATAAACTCAGGGTGCCAAAACACTTACAGTGGAACACCCACAGAACACTCCTTGGAGAACTCCCCCTTCCAGAGGGGACAGGATCAACCTATCATTTTTCTTGTAGTAACAGTTGGGTTCCTGTAGTGGTCACATCTGGCAGCATCCAACAGACTTTCTGCACACCCTCCCCTCAATGAAAGCTCCTGGTAACGGCTTTTGAACTTTGCATTGCACTGAAACCAATTATACTGTTTTAACAAAAGAAGGCTGGTAGTTGCTCTGTGCACAGCATGTCATTCAGTGCACATCCAATGACTGCTACCTTTGCCTACTCCCTATTATTGACCTAGTGATCACCATTTGCAATATTTAGTCCTAGTGCAATTTAAGCACTTCATTCTTGGGTATGAATTACTCTATTGTTTATATAGGATTGAAATATTTCTAGCTTCAGAAAGTGAATCTCATAAGTGGTGTCCTTCAGTGACTTCTGGCAGAAAGTGAGACAGAGAATGAAACGGACTGGCAACTGAATTAAGGAAATGAGGTACACTTTAAATAATTTTACATTTATAGGCCAAGCCTATAATTTCGAGTTCTAAGACTCCTAGAAGAGAAAGATAATGAAGTTTGTCAAAATAAAATCACTCTACCCTAAGCTCTCATCACATTCATTTTATACATAAAAGCATCTCTCACCTTGGCAGTAGGTGCTTCTGTTAACCGTATAAAAAGCTTGTTAAGGCCTGTAACAGGACTGAAGGAATAAATAAAGTGACTATCCTAAAAGAAAAAAAATTACAATAAGTTAATGTTGGTGTGTGGCAAAACCGTGTCACCTTAAAGTGCCCAGAGAAGCACAGAGATTGTTCTTAGCTCCAAACTTCTCATCCATAACTACAACAACTGTATTTTTTTGGAAAAAGATAGTTCCAAGACAACATTAAATAAGCTTTTTTGTGTACGGGCACCATTGTCTGTTAAACAGAATTAGGGAATGTGATTGTACTGAAGCACCAATGAGAGGGAAATTAAGGAATACAAGTTTAATTACTGAAAATATCAGGTCAGTATACTTAATGTAAAACAATTTAACTCAAACTTAATTATTTCATGGGTAGGAGACAGGGATTATTGAGTTTTTAAAATGTTCATGTCACTGACAGATGCTGACCAGAAAAGACTCTTAAGACTGAATTTGTCTCCAACTCAACACCTTACTGATATGCTTCACCTGATTCCAAGGCTAGTGAATTCAGGGTGACAGGAAAATGGAAACATTTAAATAGCGGTTTCTACTGTTTTTCTAGAGATCTTCCAGAACTGATTGTTTAAAAAAAAGCCCTCTGCAATTTACTGTATATTTGAGAGAGTTTGTCAGTCTGTTCAAGAATTCCTTCTACACTAAGAGCTAGGACTACTACATTTGGTATACAACTTCCTCTTACCATAACTTAAAGCAAGGTAAGGGTTTGTTGTGCCAGGATAATGGGATGTGGCTGGAATGGGACTTTCATGCAGAATCATCAAGCAGATGAAGGAGGCTAGCTAGGGGTGAGTGCCCATACCCATCCCCTTCCCCAAGCCTCTCATACCATCTCCCTGTGGTGCCCTGTAGGGAGGAACACAGAAGCTCTCCCCTCCTGATTCAACACAGGGACATTGCTGGCTGTGCTGTTTGCTGCCTTCCTCACTTTGACTGGAGAGCACAAGGGCAGATGAATGTAGACTTGCCCCTGCTGGGGGACATGCACCCCTCCCCTGGCTGTGCCTGTTGGAGCTGCAGCAGCCATGGAGAGGCAGTTCTCACCTGGTCCCAAACTGCTACACCAAGGGCTGGTAAAAACAACAAATGGTCTGGTAGCACTTTATAGACTAACAAAACATGTAGATAGTATCATGAGCTTTCGTAGGCACAGCCCACTTCTTCAGATGACTGGTAGTCATCTCTCCCCCGGGCAGCCTGCATACCGAATCCCTTATCTCCAGCCTTACCCCAGAGCAATGATTTAAATTAAGCATGTCATTTTTATGTTCGTTTCCAAAAAAACAAAAACTGAGTTAAGGACCCAAGCAATACTGGGTAAATCTTCTAGTTTATTATATTAACAGATGTCATAAGTAACATGCTGGGACTGAAATACGATTCAAATCCCTTGACATTAAAAAGATTACATGTTTGCTTTTTGTAGAGGTTCTAGGAAAGCAGAGTAACTAGTTAAATGAACAATACTTACCAAAAATACAGGAAGCTGGAATTTATCATTTAAAACCACAGCTTGCACACTGCATGGTCCACAGAGCCGAGCAATTACTTCTTTACCAAAGAAGTTTGAATGGAAAACAAATAGAAGAATTCCAGATCCTAAAGGGAGGACAATTAATTCACATTTATTTTACGAAATGCATTCATCTGAAATTAGGTTTATGATTCAAATCAGTAACATCTCACTGTTTAAAAACCAGCTTCCCACACAGACTGGATCCTGCCTGCCGCCTCGAACTGCTGACTCTGTATCAGATACAGAGGCAGGCATGAGAGACCCATGCTCCCCACACAGACAGACGCTGATCGAGGAGCTTAGACCCCTTGCAGAAAGGGGCTGCAGCTGCAGAGCAAGCTCTATTTGTGGCAAAACCGGGCCTCTTAGTCAGCAGTGGGGTTTTTTTTTGGGGGGGGGGGAGGCAGGAGGCAGCAAAGGGAGGGGTGCAGGTCTGCGGCATGCACAGAAACCTTGCTTAAAAGTCGACGTGCTTATCAGTTTCTCCCTGCCCCCCACCCTGCTGCCTCCGTCACACAGCAGCGCAGGGAGGGAAGGGGAGGCACATCCTGTGCTCACAGGGAGCCAGGTGGTTCCTGCCCCCCCTCCCTTGCTGCCTACACTGTTCTTTATTCATAAGATCATCAGCTTTTTTATTTTGGCAACTACTGACAAATACTAAACTTTATTCCTTTAAAGATGCATGACCAGTGCATAGGTGTTCCTATTCAGAACCACAAAAATTCTAGACTAAAACCAGTGGGAAACAAGCTCATTGCAGGACAACTGCTTTTGTCACTGCTGCAAGGTGTAGAATAAATATGAATTAAGTAATTAGAATTATCCATTATAAAATGTAAGGTATGTGTGTGGTACAGAAAGGTCTTGACTAACAAGCAGACAGGAAGGCCTTGAAAAGTAACAAGTTACAAGGCCAAAAGGAATGAAATAGCGACATGGTTTTGTTTAAAAAATAACAAAATGAAATAAAGGGAAGTTTCTGAAATGACGACATTTATGGTTAAATTAGTATTATGTAATATCATACCTCATTTTAACTGCAGATTACAAACAGATTCTAATCTTACCTTCTGGCACATTCTGTGGGGGTTTATAGTTGAAATCCATAGAAAAATCTGGTCCTTCACATAGACGATGACATGCAATCGGAAAGACAGGTTCCAGCAAGGCAAGACGAGCTTCAAAGTAATCTCTAATTGCATCTTCTGCTACTCTTGAGAGTCTAAATAAGCAAACAAATGATGCTTACAGGTGATTTAGATGAACTGCATTTCCTTTTAGAGAAGGATCATATTATTGTGCAGAGATTACTAGCTGTAATGGATGTACCAATTATTGAGGCACAGAAGGATTCTAGATGGCAAGGTTTAGGATTCCTAATTCCCAAAGCTTATATAACTTGCATTGCATTTAAGAGGAGACATATCCCAAGTCCTGGAAATGAAGAGCCGCTAACATATTTAATCTGGGATCTAGTCTGGTTTTGAGATTTGCTTAGGTCAGGTTTGAAAATGTTAAATACCATAATAAGCTTGAGACAGGCACACTTCAAAAAATTCAAACTGGTGATGATGGGTTTGGAAAGTTCCCCAACACAGAAATAAAATTCCTGCAAGAGGAAAATACTCAACCTCTTCAGAATAACTCCATGGCCAGGCAGAGACAGAGTGCTACTGTGTTGATCAATACTATGCTACCAGCCAGGATGATTTATAGCTTCACTTAAGGATGCTTGTATATGAGAACAGAGAACTCCCAATCAATGCTGAACAAAAATTCGAAAGAAGTTTCCTACTGAAGAGTAGGGATGTAAAAACCTATTTAATCGGTTAGTCAGTTAAATGTAATGTTTAACTGGTTAACTGAATAAAGGGGTGGCCAGGCTGGAGCATCTTCTGCACCAACCACCAAAAGGGGCTCCTCCCACTGGATTGGAGCACCCTTCGCCCATGGTGGGTCCCACAGAGCTGGAGTAGCCCCCTGCCCACGGCAGACTGGGAGCTGCTCCATCCCCCACTGGTTAACCAGAATTGGTACGCCTCACCCATTAAAGGTGAGGCTTACTGGTCAACCAGTTAACCATTCATATCTCTATTGAAGAGCTGATATGGGTTATGGCTGTATTGAGTGAGTCAAGACACATCTGTCAATAATACTTCGCATTTTAGACCTTTACAGGTAGTTACTTAACACCCATATGAAACAGGGACTCTTGAAATAAACAGGTTTAAATGACGTACCCATGGTTGGAGTGGAATTAGAACTCAGGGGTTCCTGGTTCTTAACTTTATAGATGCTCAATTTCATGTAAATGTTTAAATTAATCCTATTCAGTGACCACCCTCTCTGGTAGTTGAGATTATCTCCAGAATTCAAACTAAAACTTTTGGTTTTATCATGAGACCCCTTGATGTATAATAGTGAGTTCTGAATCTGAAGGACTTTGAGGATTTGGAAAGGCCTAGTTTGCTTGATATTGAGATTTTGTTAATTTCAAAACTGTTTCTTCCCCTCTACCTAGCAGTGCTACAGATATTTGTCAACTAAGTCTTTAGTAAAAGGCAAAGGATTTATACAAACTGAAGAGAAACAAGAGTAAGCAGACAAAAGGACAAGTGAAAACTGACACTTCTATAAAGATGTATATATTTTAACTACGCATTTTTATACCACCTCCCCCTCTCTTCATAAAGATGATGGTTTTATACTGAAAACTCTTCTACTCTGAGATTATCTTCATGTGTTTGAACCTAGCAAACTGTGGGTACTATTGAATAATAGTGACTCCAGACCACTATACAGGTACATCTTTTTTAAAATTAAATAAGGGGTATGCATACTACTTGTGAGTACATAAGACATCTGTGGGGGATAGGCAGGAGAAACTGTGTGGTGGTGGATTTATTAATTGTGTTTTCCAAATTGGTTACTTGGAGAAAACGTTAACATTTTATATAATTTGTTATATAAAATATGGTAGTTAATGTACTTCAAGATGTATCAAGAACACAGTCGTACAAAGCCTTCACCTTCAATCACGATACAGCACTGGTTCAGTTGTATAACAACCGTATGGTCTTTTGCCTGTTTTACTAGCAACAGATTATTGAATCTATTGTATTGTAACTTTATCTGTACATAAATTTGGGTATATGGCAAAGTATCAGTGGTTAGAAGGATAGGAGTATGTGGGAAGCTGGAAGAGAGATACACAGTAAGAAAAGCTTGGGTACCTCTCTATTAGCCCAGCTGACAGCAGTATGTCACCTCATTCTGCACTTTTATTCAGTATTTCAAAAACGGTTGGGTTGCCCACCCCTATGTGATTTTGGTACTGCTCATTTTTTCTGACCATGGGAAGCTTGCATTTTTTCCTAGCATGTCTCATTTTCCTCTGAGGAACTTATTTAAGCCAAATCCATGAAGCACATGTGAAGTTTTAGACAATAAAGAGCCATGCAGACAGACTACTTACGTCTCCAAGTGACACTTAAGCAGGTCATAAACTAGTACGTTATTACACTGTTTAGCAAAATGAAGTGCACTGTTTTGATGCTTTGACAAAATGTTGCAATCTGCTCCACTTTCAATCATAAGTCGAACAATGTCGGAATTTCCTCTCTTACAAGCCTACGCATAAAAAAAAGGGGTAGGGGAGAGAGACACAACTTGTGAAGTAGCAAAATACTTTGTAGTGAGTACTGAATTACAGCAGAACCCGTATTTTAAAAAAATAACTGGGGATTGAGTAGCTCATGAAAATGAACTCAGAATCACAACAGATTTACCAGTTACATTCCAATACTTTCAATTCTTTCTAAATTTTAATTTCATATTAATTATAAGACTCTTACTTATTAACCTATCATAAAGGAGAAGACCGAGGGGGGACATGCTACGAGTTTTCAAGTACCTAAAATGGTGTCACAAGGAGGAGGGAGAAAAATTGTTCCCCTTGGCCTCTCAGAATAGGTCAAGAAGCAATAGGCTTAAATTGCAATAAGGGAGGTTTAGGTTGAACATTAGGAAAACTTCCTATGTGTCAGGGCCGTTAAACACTGGAATAAATTGCCTAGGGAAGTTGTAGAATCTCCATCTCTGGAGATATTTAAGAGCAGGTTAGATAGACATCTCCCAGGAATGATCTAAAATGGTACTTGGTCCTGACATGAGGGCAGGGGACTGGACTTGATGACCTCTTGAGGTCCCTTCCAGTTCTAGTGTTCTATGATTCTATATGTCATCCATATTCTTCAGGATTTCTTTTAAGTAAATTATGCTGTTCCAATAAATTATCCATTTCATTTAACAGAGACAATCTAATCCTCGTATGAAAATGTCAACGCATGGATTTCCTTGCGAGAGCAGATGTAATGTGTCACTGAATAGAACTTTAGTACACCTAGCTGATTGTTCTTCCAAGGCTGTACGCAGTATAGCTGTAGCCATGTCATTCCCTGGATATAGGTGAGAAAGCAGGTGAGGTAGTCTTTTGTTGGATCATCTTCTGTTGGTGAGAGAAAGAAGCTTCCAAGCCCCACACAAAGAATTCTTCTTCAGGCCTGGGAAAGGTACTCTCAGCACCACAACAAAATGCAAAGTGGAACGATATCTGACCTATCAGTGCACATACTCAAAGGAAATCTGAAAACCACTTTCAAAAGACGAGCCTTGGGGTTAAAATTAATTCATCTGCTAGACCAGTGTTTCTCAAACAGTGCTCCACGGGGCCCTCATCTCCAGGGGCTCTGCAAGGTTGACAAACTGGAAACATTGATCAGTACAATACATACAATGAGTGGACCGCTGGGGCTCTGCATAAATTTCTTTGCATGTAAAGGACTCCAGAGCCCAAAAAGTTTGAGAACAGCTGTGCTAAGCACAAAATTATGTATGGGGTTTGTTTGTTTTTGGATGCAGGGATATTAATGGGTCAGTCTACTTTGAAGGGTCTCTTACAATACATGCTTGCTATTTATGCTAAAAACAAAACAAAAAACAAACAAACAAAAAACTGTTCTACTTTGCATTTTGCTCTGATGCTGGGAGTACCTTTCCCAAAACTGAAAGAATTGTATGTGGCTTGAAAGCTTCTCTCTCTCTCAGTAACAGAAGTTGGCCCCCCAAAAGACATTAACTTACTAACCTTCCCAGAGACATTCAGGGTCTCAGTATTTCCCCATTACAACACTGACTGATCTTCTCTTCCAAAAAACCTTACTCTGTGTTATGACCCGAGGACAAAAATAATTGGGTGTGAAGGCATCTCAAGCAACCACTCTTTGGAGTTTTTGCTTTTCTGCTGAGAATTACATTGTGAGTTAACAATTGCAGGCCACTCTCTTGATCAGGGAAGTGGAGAGGGAAACCAACCCTGCAGTTAAACCCATGAGCACATAACATGTGTTTTCGGATTATATACACAACATGCAACTTTAGCACTGCTTTATCATAAGCTTTTCCATTTAGTAGGACTAAATTAATGAATACATGACTGAAAGATTACTGCACTAGTGACTGCGGTCTGAGGGCTCTGACACATGTAATAGATCTTTGTCCTATAAATTAAATTAAAGCCTAAAGTATGGTTTAAGAAAAAAAGATGACGAAAACAGACCTGGGCCACTGATGTATCTATACATACCACATTCCTCCTCCTATACACTTAAATCTCTTTAATCCGGTAACCCTGGAAAACAGGGTATGCCACACTAAAGACTTTGCCAGGACAAGTAGGGTGCTGTGGGGTCTGGGCATGAGGGGAACAGGGGCAGGGTGCTTACCTGCTGCCTCGCTCCCAAGGGCATATGTTGCTCTGTAGACACCCCCAGCACTCCCACCACTATGGGTGCTGTGAGGAAAAAGTTGCAGGGGAAGCGTATTGCTGAGCTGAGTAACCCCAGCTGGGGGTAGTGAGAGCAGCAGCATGCAAAGCCACTTCCTCCTCTGTACCACAGGTGCTCCCAGAGCATGGAGGTTCAAGTGTATATTTGCTAAAATGTTGATGTCAGGAAAAAATGCATTTACCTTCATTAAAGCAGTTTCACCATTACTCTGCTGGACATTGAGATAGGCCCCAGCTTCCAAAAGAATAGCCACTGTAGTTAGAAAGTTCTTAGAAAGGAACATAACAGTTAAACTTTAAAATATACAAATATTTCAAAACAGAAAGCTAAATACAGAATCAATATTATAAAAGACCCTAAAATAAGGCATCAATGTGATACTGCATAGCTTCTGGAGGTCAAATTCATCTACAAACTTTTAACAGTCTCACCCCATCTCCCAAGTCATGAACTGAAGAATTTTCATTCTGAAGACAATTTCATGAACTGATAATTTCCAAATGAAATGGACAAAACTTTGTTACATAAAACTTAGTATTTTATCATTTGAAATTTCAAATAAATTGACACTCTTATTTACATTAACACAGTAAGAAAATTAAATAAAACAAATTTTGTCATTAGATCAGTGTTGACTGCTTTGTCAGTAAATCTTGACAAGCAGCAGATTGGTTAGTTTACTGCTGACTTTTAACTGATAGTTCTGAATATAGTTAAGGAAGATGATGTGCTACAATTTAAATACCAATCCGAGTATCTGGCAGACACAAATCTGAAACAAATACTTCAGTTAACTAGATAAAGCAAGCTCAATAGTTTTGAACTTGAAGAAAAAAGATCCAGATGTAGGACTACTGTTAACGGAAACTCACTTTTTCAGCTGCATGTATCAATGCAGTTGTTCCATTTTTCTGTCTACAGTTTACTTTCGCTCCTTTCCTGATAAGGAGCCGGAGGAGGTCATCATGTCCTCCTGCGGCAGCAAGCATCACTAGAGTCATTCCACTTGAATCCTGCAACAATTGTTTACTTTTTAAATACAGATCTTCAAACAGGAGCCTGTTTACACTAACTATACCTGAAAAGGTATCCAGTTACACCACAGTTCCATGTAAGTACTGGTTGAACCATGATGATGTCTCTGAAATGTGCTAGAATCTTTGATAACCCAATGTTTCAGCACAGCTCAGGGACACCATCATGGATCATCTACAGTTTAAAAAAAAAAAAAAAAGAAAGTCAAGACATATGTAGAGGGGGGAAGGTGGCAGGAGGGAAGACAAGTACACTATAACCAAGCCACATTTAAATTGCTCCCATTAGCTCTGCTATAGACATTATGTATCTTCCTGGTTAACAAGACTTAGCAAAATTTGTCATAAATTACTATGATATAATGGATACCAGACCAATTATCAACCTTTCTTTACGAAAATAACTAGGGCTGTCAACTGACCCGTGTTAATGCCTGCGATTAACGCAGGACAGGATTAACACGTTAATTTTTTTAATGCGTTAATTGCAGGTGTTAATGCTGCACTGCCTCTTTGAAGTACCACTCTGCTACTTCAAAGGGGCAGCGCAAGTGGGACCGGGGATCAGCTCGAGTGCCCAGCTGATCTGTGACTCCTAGTGCACTGCCCCTTTAAAGCACCAAAACAGCACTTCAAAGGGGGCAGCACAAGCAGAGCTGGGGATCAGCTGGGGACTCCAGCTGACACCAGGCTTCATACCTTGCGCTGCCCCTTGGAAATGGTTCTTCGAAGTGTGTCCCCATGGGTGCTCCACATTTGGTGTCGGGCTAGTCCCAGCGCAGCGAATCAGAGCTTGCCAGAGCTGATCGGCTGTTTGTCGGCTCAGCGCAGCAGCCATGTAAATTTAAATGAAGCGGCGATTATTTAAATCGCCGCTTCATTTTCCTATGTCTGGTAGCCTAATCTACATGCCTCTGGCAACAGAGGCATGTAGTCTAGACATACCCGTAGAGGGTCTCCTCTCACAAAGGGTGTTGATGTAGCCATTGCCCGCGTAAAGTGGGCCCTAGGCTGTGATGGAAGCGGCCTCTTACAGATGTCATAGCAGGTAGTAATGCAAGAGACCACGAGCTTTGAAATGCGTTGGGCTGATAGGGGTTGGCCCCTAGAATGCCCTGAAGTGGAAACAATAAGACAGTCCGTCTTCCTAACATCACGGGTTCTATCTATATAGAATGCTAGTACCCGACGGACATCTAGAGTGTGCAGGAGAGCGTCATGCCGAGACGTGTGAGGTTTTGGGTAAAAGCATGGTAGAACGATTCGCTCGTTGATATGAAAATCAGTGCAGACCTTCGGTAGAAAGACTGCATGAGATCTCAATGTTACAGCATCCTTGGTAAAAACTGTATTGGGGGGTGATGACATCAGTGCTGCGAGCTCACTCACCCTGCGTGCAGACGTTATAGCGAGGAGAAAAAGTACTTTCATTGTAAGGACCAGCATTGGTACAGTTACTAGGGGTTCAAACGGTGGTCGTGTTAGGACATCTAAGACCAGGTCAAGACTCCACGTAGGTGGCGGGGGTCTGTATGGAGGATTGAGGTTAATGTGACCTTTAAAGAATCTGTCATCATGGGATGGGAAGACACCGACCTTTCTTCGATGGGATGGTGGAAAGCCACAATTGCTGCTACATGGACTCTAAGTGATGATATGGATAGACCAGCAGCCTGCAACTGGAGAATATATTCCAGTACGACATTCAGTGGTGAGATAAGAGGATCCAGGCCCTTAGGAGTGCACCAGCCATTCATGGTCTTGATAAAAGTGTCTGCTCAACGCATCTGCAATGGTGTTGTTTGCACCGGGTAAATATGAAGCCACGAGAAAGATGTTGTTTCGAATGCACCACTTCCACAAGCGGACCGCCTCTACAAAAAGGGACCTGAAGCGGGTACCTTCTTGCCTGTTCAGATAGTACATTGTAACGATGTTGTCTGCGAGGATTCTTGTCGTTGTGCCTCTTATGTGCCTCCTGAACTGCCTGCACGCATGCAACACCGCCCACAGCTCAAGGAGGTTGATGTGCAACATCATTCCTGCCAAGGACCAACGGCCCTGGGCCATTTCGGTGCCCATGTGTGCACCCCAGCCCACGAGACGCGTGCCTGTGGTTCTCTCTCTTGATGATTGCACCGCCTGAAATGGGACTCCTGATAGCATGTTGTTGGGGTCAGTCCACCAGTGCAAGGACTCCTTGACCCGCGTGGGTAGTGCCACGGCTTTGCGAGTACTGTGTCTGATGGTATTGTATACCGTGGTCAGCCAATGCTGCAGGCACCGGAGATGTAGCCTTGCGTGCCACATGATGATCGTAGTAGCCACCATATGACCCAAGAGCTGTAGGTATATGCAGACTGGTAGTATTGGGGACTGCAGGACTGTTCTTACTAAGTCTTTTATGGCTTAGAAACGCTCGACCAGCAGATGCACTCGCTCCTCAAGGGAGTTTGACCGAGCTCCTATAAAGGTAAGGATTTGTGTTGGTTATAATCGGGATTCTTCCATGTTTACAACAAGGCCGAGGGATTTGAATAGAGCCTGAGTGGCCATCACCACGTGGAAGGTCTCTGCATGACTGTGACCCTTGATCAGGAAATGGCCAGATAAGGGAAAATTGCCACTCCTGTTCTGCCTAGGTGAGCTGCTACGACCGCCAGTGTTTTGGAGAACACTCTTGGTGCCGAGACAAGGCTGAACGGAAGTACTTTGTACTGGAAATGGTTGTCCCCCACTACAAAGCGTAGAAATCGCCTGTGTGCTACACGTAATGAGATATGAAAGTATGTGTCCTGTAAATCTAGGACTGCGAACCAGTCTCCTTTGTTTAGTGCTGGTATGATCTTGGCCATCATAGTCATTTTGAAGCACTGCTTGCGGATGAAACAATTTAGACCTCTCAGGTCGAGAATCGGTCTCCAGCCCCCGGACTTTTTGGGAACCAGGAAGTACCTGGAGTAAAAGCCTTTTCCCCAAAATTCCCTTGGAACCCGTTCTATGTGGAGGTAGGGCCTCAGCCAATGACTGAATATGCTAGAAACAGGCTTTTGTGTGATGACCACTGGAGATGTGTTCGAGTCCTTGGCACAGGAGTCAAACCTACTGCTTAGAAGCAGGTTGGGCTGGTGGGCGATTCTGTTGTTGGCATTTGCATTGCGGACGCTGTCTAAATTTGGGCTGGTCAGGTCTGCGTTGCTGTTGTTTATAGGACGAATAATTGTACCTCCTTTGGAACGGGTAGCATCTCCTTCGCCTGAAGGGCGGCGTGTACATACCCAAAGTCCTGAGGGTAGTACGTGAGTCCTTCCCCGAGTGAAGAATCTCATCAGTCGTGGAGGCAAACAGCTTTTGCCGGTCGAAGGGTAAATCCTCAACTTTGGCCTGCAGTTCCTTAGGGGCTCCTGCCGACAACAACCAGGAGGCCCTGCGCAATGAGATACCCGTTGCCATGGCTCGCGCTGCGGTGTCCGCTACATCAGCGGCGATTTGAAGGGATGTCCTGCATGCCATGAATCCTTCTTGAACTACAGCTTTTAGAAGGGGTCTCTTGCTATCCAGAAGGTGTTGCACGAGTTCCAGGATCTTGGAATAGTTGTCAAAATTATGATTTGATAGGAGGGCAGCGTAGTTGGCAATTCGGAGGAGTAAGGTTGAGGAAGAATAGATCTTATGCCCGAATGAATCTACCTTCTTAGAGTCCCTATCAGGCAGGGAGTTCTTGAAGTGAGGAGTCTTTGCCTCATAGTGGACCGCGACGACGAGCAGCGAGTTAGGCTGAGGGTGATTAAAAGGAAGTCTAGTCCTTTGGACGGTACAAAGTACTTCTTATCCACTCTTTTGTTAGTAGGTGGTATTGATGTTGGCGTTTGCCAAATCTCTTCGGCCACCTCCATAATAGCTTTATCTATTGGTAGGGCAATCTTCCGCTGCTGCTTCGGGTGTAAATTTTTTTAACAGTTTATGTTGCTTCACCTAGGTCTCAGTAAGTTGTACCTCTTGGGATTGTGCTACGCGTCTAAAAAGGTCTTGGAATTCCTTGAGATCTTGAGGAGGTGACGTCTCGGCCGGAGTTACAGCTTCATCTGGCGAGGGCACGGAGGAGCAAGCATTAGGGGACATGTCTGGTTCCGTCTCTGATAGTTGCCCTTCCTCCGGGTCCGATTGCTGCGATTGAAGGGTCAGAGATTGCGGAGGCAGCGCAGGTCCGAGCAAGGACTGCTCTTGCGGTCTGGAGTGTACGGAACGCGGGCTGATCAACCAGCAGGAGCATGGTGACCTGTGACGAGATCGCGACTGGCTATACTCAGAAAGTTTGCCGTAGTAGGGACTAATGCAAATAATGTCGGTCAGAGGCTGCAACTGACGAGCGTCTAGAAGACCTAGCACTGCTGTGCCTGACATAGTACGTACGCCATGGTGAGTGCATTGGCGAGTGCCTGGAAGGAGATTGAGATCTGGAGCACCTGTGATGCGAACAGCTACGCTCCCTATGGTAATGACTACGAGACGATGTACTGCGTCTATAATCCTTCCTCCAACCCGTTGTGTGGTCAGCATGAGTAGATGGGTGAGGGGATGGCTCTGGAGAGGGTGAGAGAGATCACCTGGATATCTGATCTGGATGCTGCTTTAGGAGGCTGTGGTGCTAGCTGCTCATGGCATGCAGGCTGCGAGGTTGTAAGCTCAACTGAGTGTAATGAAGCAGGCATCTGCTCCGTAGTATGCGTTCCCAGTGCCGACAGTGCTGAGGACAGCTCCTTGTGAGGAGGAGTGACTGCAGAGATTAGTGGGGTCGGCACTGGGAGCACAGGTGCCGATGGAGCTGGCTCTTTAAGAGGCTCCTCAGCTGCTTGCGGTGCTGGTGGCAGCCGAGTCTTGTACATGCTGGCCGGCTTTTTTGCTGCCGGTGTGCGGGCTGCCCTGGAGCCAGAGGTACCCGACTTATCTCCTGCACTCCCCCCCGCAACTGCAGGGCTATTGGCAGGGACTTAGCAGGAGAGGCTCTCTTCCTCTTTGGGGAAGGCACAATCAGGGAAGGAGCCCTCCGCTTTTCCAGAGTGGGGTCCGAAGCAGAGGAGCCTGCTGAATTTGAAGGCATCAGTGCCTTATCAAACAGGATCTCCTTAAGTCATCGTTCCCGCTCTTTGCAGGCTCTAGTTGTAAGCTTCACACAATGGGCACATTTTTGGGGGATATATGCCTCCCCAAGGCAGCGGACGCAGGCAGAGTGGCCATCAGAGAGCGGCATAGACTCTCTGCACACGGAGCATTTCTTGAAACCGGGGGAGCCCAGCATATTAAAAGGCTGAGAGGGCTTGTCTTACGCCCCTCTCTATGGCAGGTTGTTCTTCTGCTCCCGTTTCTTAAAGAACGGGACTTAAATGTAACAGGAACAGGAACTACAACAGAAAACTGACTAGAAAACTTGTGGAAACGGATCCTCTCTTGAGAGGATGAGCCCTGAGGGACTAAGGGCTGCCACGGCAACAGTATCGGAGAGCCACGCTTCCAACTATAACTCTTAAAAATGAAATATATATCAGAGTTGTTTTGTTTTCTCTTTCTTTTGAAGAACAAAGCAGTAAACTGCAGAAGGTGAGAAGTTATTCTGTAAGTCTTTCTTTAACTTATTGTGAGGTAAATGAGGAGAGATCCATCCGCGATGAAGGGCAGATGAGAAGGAACTAGCGGGGGCCGGGTCGCGCGCGGTTGATCAAAGGCGCAAAAGCTGCTCACGCACACGCGATCCAGCCGATGACAGCTCTGGCAAGCTCCGATTCGGGATGCCGGGACCAGCCCGACAACAAACGTGGAGCACCCACGGGGACTACCCAAAGAAGAGCTCCAGCTGATCCCAGGCTCCATGCAGTGCTGCCCTGTTGAATCACGTGATTACATTTTTTTAATCGCGCAATTAATTGAGATTAAAATTTTTAATCACTTGACAGCCCTAAAAATAACTAAAGAAGTATGGAGGTAAAACAAGATTAAACCCCATGATTTAATCAATGTTTCTTGCTCACTGATTTTAATCATGATTAAAATTGTTAATCAATTCATCTCTCATGCTTATGTTTTGGGAGTACACACTTTAGAAATACTTGTCAAGTTTTACAGCATATAGTAATTTACAACAGAACCAAACCCCCAAAGAGCTAACCTGTTTTACTTAAAGGAAATGGTGATGAGTTCAATAACCGTTTAAAGTTCCCAATACGCAACTATGTTGTAAGCTACAACCAAATATCTGAAAGTTAGCTCTGGTTTACCTGTCAATTTAGAGTCTAGAGTTCTATTTAAGTGTATTTGCACTAGTTAACTATGCACATATTTGCTTACCAATTTCAAATATGAACAGTTTAACCTAAGACCTGTAGGTAAAGTCTCCTCTACACTGGATTTGTACAAAAAAATATACCTTTAATACTTCCTCTAAGATATTACCTCCTGATCCAGGTTATATTCTTCATTTGAGTTAAGTGCCAACTTTACTGTAACGTAGTCTCCATTTTTAACAGCATCCCTCAGTAGAGCTGAAAAAAATTCATTCAGTTGGAATATTCACTTTAGAACAAAATAAGAAATGTTTCCCCTCTTCCCAAAAATTACTTACTACTTGATAACGGTTCTGTTGAAGAATGAGTCTCATCTTCTCCATCCAAATGCTTCTGAAAGTCTTCCAGCGTCAGCCATTCCAACTGCATGTCCATACCCAAACTCAAGACTTGTTGCCTTCCATCTATCATACAAACCCAAAACAAATTACTTGTTTTGTATAACCAACAAAATGTAATCAATGCATGCTGGCTATATTTACTGGCAGTATAACTTGCATAGAATCTTGCTTCTCTCCCCGCCCAAACCAAACTATACACAATGATTCACAATGGGACCTAAATAACCAATTGGCAGAAGTACTCAGTAACCTAATTGGACAAAAGAAGAGCTAACCAGTGAAACGATATACAATTTTAGTGGCAGGAACTTTTTGCTTAGCCCAAGAATTTAATCAGACAAAAAACCACACATGGTTACTTTTCTTCACATTTAAAAAACAAAAGTATGTTATTTTAGGAGATGGTGTCAATTAGGGATGTTAAAATGCATTTACTCAAGTAAACATGCAATCGCTGAAAATTTCAACAGTTACACACAAGGAGCAGGTAGCCTTTGCCTGCTCCCTTCTCCCCCCCTCCCCCCCCCACTGCTGCCTCTGATGCAGGGGGCAGGTAGCTCCCTGGGAGCCAGAGTGCACTAGGAGGTGGCTTTTAAGCTGGTTCCTCACAAGCACCAGCTCCCACCTGCCCCAACACGCTGCTGCCTATGATACAGAGGCAGCAGCATGGGGGAGGCAGCTTCCCAGGGAGCCAGTGTGTGCCAGGAGATGGCTTTTAAGCTCCCCACACAAACAGACCCTGGGTGTAACTCTGAAGATTAGCCAATAAGCCTAGGCTCATCAGTTTATTGTGTACATGGTTACACTTTCATATCCCTAGTATCAATGAAGTTAACATTTGTTTAGTCCTGATTTTTACATCATGTAAATGAACACTCCATTTCAACAGGTGTAATAGGTCAAGCTAATTTGCTCAGAAGCTGATTGTTAACCTCCTCTTCAAAATTTCCTAGGGCTTAAAGTAAATGAATAATGACATCTACAGTCAGGATGTTAGACTCTCTGTGCAGACTAGTGCTGAACCCTAGACATTTAGAACACATGCCAAGACTCCAGTGCAAGGGGTGTCAGTTGAACAATTCCTCATTTGGGACCAATATGTATGGTTGTAATTGCCCATTCATCTTTGTAGAACTCAGCAGGATTCAAGTTTTGCACAGCAAGTCTCAGTGAACATGCCCAACTTTCCCTTGACTTGTTTTTACTACTTGCCAGAATTCTCCTCCATTTGACACACATTGTCCAGCACTTCCCGATCACCTTCTGCAGCAATGTAAGTCCAGGTATCTGTCTCATCTCTTACGCTCCTCCTTTCCTTGTATAATTGTTTATTTTCTTTTGATTTGAATTCTTCTATGAATTTATAATCCACTGAAGAGTCTTCTCTTTTTCGGTTATTGTCAGAGTATTCATTTTTTTCTTCTGAAGATATATTAAACAAGTCAAATGCACTTTTGTTCTCCTTCAAACCTAGGATATAGATGAAATATATTTAAATGAGAATGTCTACATATACAAGTCGTACATGTTTTAGATATGTCCTGAGTGGTCATTGTCTGAAATGGTCACATTTTAAGGAATTTTTTATTTTGCTTCTAGAAATTATCAATATTCATGTGTGGAGCCAAGTTAACAGATTACACATGCATATGAAAGAGCCAAATTCAGTGAACATTATTTACCTCATATTACCCTATGCAACTCTGAATCCTGACTAGATTCAGCACTAATTTAACTAAAATTTTAATATATAAATACACTGCTTCTTTGGAAATTATATGCCAATACTTCTAATGAGTATTTTAATTATATATACTCCATAATATTCTGATTTCATAGCTTCAATTATTTCTTCTCCCTGGTAGAAAATTCTGACCAAGGTGAGAGAGACATCAATATTTATTTTCCAGTTTATACATCTTGACATTTACTTCAATGCTGTTTACCAAGGCAGACATGACCTTAACAATGATTTGTTATTGTTTACTGTATATATAAATTAATCTTGATTGTTTTCCCATAACTGGGGATACATTCTTTCAACACCCTGTAGGAAACAAAACAAACAGACCTTTCATGGCATAAAATGGAATGGCCATCCATACAAGGCTAGAATGCCAATATTACGGCAAGGTGTAAACTGATTGAGGAGACTACTAACCCTTGCTCTTTCAGGTGCAGTAAGTAATCAAGAACAAGCTGCAGTGACAACCTTGTGGGCGAGACATTGGGAAGGCCAGAGGGAGAACCACTTCCATTTGAAAAGGAGAGTTATTCTGCTCCAGGCCACCAGGTAGAGAGAACTAAGGCTTAGGTAGAACAGTTAAGTGTAGTCCTGTGAAATCACATCCCCGAGTAGAAGCAGCAGAAATGGGGCCAAACCAGGACAATTAGAATGATTTGCACCCGGTCTTGTTTGATCTTCAGGATAACTTTGTGCACAAGCACAGTAGAAGGGAAGCCCTGATCCATGTAGCTGGAGGACCTATAACCTGTAAGATACTAACTTTAGCAAGTTAGCATAAGGCCTTTGAACATTCAACTGATAAAATGACCTAATCAGAGAATACCAAGCAGTGGAGCTGAAAACAATTGTTTAAAGGTTGTTTCTGTGGTCAGAAGTTTCCAACCACAAGAGTCCAATCAGAAAAGTATTTCAACAAAGTGATGTACATACAGGTACCATGAGTTACATTCGCATGTACCTAACCTTAAGAGGACCATGGTAACCAACTGACATATGATAAGAAGTTGAAATCATTGATATATTAACCTATGGGAGAAGGACACTCCAATATTAGTAAAGTGAGGATATATAAACAAAGGAAAAGGAGAACTGTCCCTACAGAATATGCATCAAACATAGCGGAATCAGAGTATCATATTATAAAAGTTGCATTCCAGCCTAAGGGTAGTTGAAGGGGATGTAGTCTCTGGGAGGTGCCAGAATGACAGGCACTAGTAACGAGGGGGAAGGTAATGACGACGATGAGGAAGATAATGGCTAACATTTCAGGTTGTTCTACAAGGGACAGTGTTAGTATTATGGATGTGCAAACATACATTCTATAATATTTTAAATCTACCTTAATTAGCTGGGATATTTGTGAGGGTGCTAAATATATTTAATAAACTATTTGTAGATATAAAAAAGTTCCTATAGTTAGAGCCCTGCAAATCTGCATCTGCAGACATGGACAAGGATATCCATAACTCATTTGCCACAAATTTTAAATACAATTGTATTTATATTGAAATAATAATTTTGCATCCAGAACCCTGCAAATTTGCAATATCTGCTTTATATCCATGGTCAGGGTTCGACAAATCCGTGTATCTATTCGCCTGTGGAAAGTAGATTTCAGCCGGTCGCCCCGTTCACCGGCAGCACATGCATTACGGGTCTGGTGCATGTGCGGTGTGGGACTGGTGATTGGATTTTGCCGTGGTTTGTTGAACCCTGTCTATGGGTATCCACATCCATGGATATGGATACAAATTGTGTCCACACAGGGTTCTACCTACTGTGTGTGTGTGTGTTGCAACTGTGCACATCAGGGTTCCCAACTCGAATAAAAATTTAGAAAACTCTGGGCTTGATCTTGTGACACTAACCTGTCAACTCTCAAAGAACTAACTGAGGATTCTTAGGTAACACGCACCCAAGACGACTTACCCAGCATTGCCGGGTCCTTCAGAGCAGGGGACTGGTGGGGGGGAGAGGGGTGGGTGGGGTCTGGTGGTGGGGCAGGAGCATTTCATGGGGTACCGACAACTCAGCCAGGAGCCCAGAATCTGTGTGTGTGTGTGTGTGTGTGTGTGTGTGGAAGGGAAGATGCAGGACCATGGGTATAGGGGGAGGAGGCAGGGAAGAAGGTTGCAGGTGTGGAGAGGTCAGTGAGGGTTGGGGAGGTGAGATCAAGCTCAGAGCAAGGGGTCCGTTTTGGCAGGGCCTTCTGCCTCTCCCCAGCCTTCCTCATCCCCCAGGGCCTTCTATCTCACTCCAGTCCTGCCCAGGGCCACTTCTTGGAGTTGTTTGTCTTAGAAGTCATCCCCTGCAAATCCTGCTAATCCCTTCCATTGAAAGGCCACCACAGATCCCAGTGGGGAGTGACGAGGAGGAGAATGAGTATAGAAACTCATGGCCCTGAGTAAGGACAAGGTACTTCCTCTTGGTCCTCTTAACCACTGGAGGTAGGGAAATGGATTTGCCACAAAGCTTTCACTGGGTCCATCATGGTTTCATGGAGAGACAGGGGTACTACTCTTGATGGGCCAACCATAAGCAGGATGTCAGTTTATGTGAGGACACTTACTACTTCAACCTCTAAGCCGAAATTCTGGGCAACCTTTTTCAGATTTCTGGTGTGTCTTGTCATCATGGGAGGGTGACATGCCTGCTCCCAACATGGCTTCATTAGCAGAGGATGTGGCCACCAATACCAAATGAGGGCATTCCTCCTCATCTTCCGCTCTGCCTGGATCACATGGCACTAGAGCTCCTTACACTTAGCACTGAGCTTGGTTCTGGAATCCAGATAAGGCACTGCATTAAGAAATGATGGTGCCCCTTTAGGAGGCCACTAATTAGTAACATCTTGATTGGGGCCCCTGCCCAGGAGGAAAAACGCCCCCAGGTTCCAAAGAGGCCATTACATGGGCATGGGCCAGTGCCCAGAAGGCAAAAAAAAAAACAAAAAAAAACAAAAAAAAAATCTAATGTCATTCTTGAGCCCAGTTACAGCTAAGTAGGGATGGCTGGTGGCATGTTGGGCTCAATTCCTCAAAACAGAGTACAACCCCAATTGAAAGGATAAGTAATCTCTCTGCCTGGTGACCACAAGTAGTTCCCACCAGTGCTAGAGATTGGCTCTGAGGTGGGAAAGATTGTGGTGAGACCAACTGGACAGTGTACTGGCATCCCAAATGGTGACTGGTGGCTGCATGCTCCCTTCTGCCTACTCACACCATCACCACCAACTCCTGAACTGCCAGTGATGCCAGCACCAACAATGAGAGTAGGTTTCCGGAAACAACAAATGTTTTTGGTATAGATGGCATGGAAACAGTATCAGTGCAGTGCCAACCTTTCAGTGAAAGTGGGTATTCCAAAGCAAGACTTAATGGTACACACAAGGATCAGGGTCAGCGGGTAGGCTGCCAGGGTAAGAGTGGCTTGGCATAGGTGGCACTTCAGTCTGTTCTCTCTGCCTCTCCTCCCTGGAACAGGGAACAACCCCTGTCAGGCAGCCGTTTCTTCTGGTTCTCTCTCAACACCAGAGATAGCGAACAGTGCTGAGACACCAACAGCAGCAGTCCTTACCCATGCTGAAGTGCTCAGTGGCAAGTCCGATTGACACACCTCCACGTCAAGTCTCAACACTACCTCCAACAGCAGGGATTTCAACCTGGCCTCCTGAGCCTTCTTGGCATAGGGCTTAAAATCCCTGGAAATCTGGCAGTGGGCTCTTAGTGTGAGCTTCACTTAAGCACATCACATCTGAAGCGAAAGTGCCAACTTTCTGGTTTTCCTGGGTATGTTTGACCCCTGCGCTGCTCCAGGCCCTGCTCCCAATTCTATCCCATACCTTCCTGCCAGTGCCCTCCAGCACCTCTTGCATGCTGCTGAACAGCTGATCTCCAGCAGGTGGGAGGCACTAGGACTGGAGAGAGGAGCAGATCAGTGGGGCTGCCATTGAGTCCTCCACCCAATGAGTCAGCACCTATGACTGAAGCGCCAGACATTCAGGGGCATAGTCTTGTTGCAGAGGGGACAAAGATTGAAGCCCTAAGCTCCACTAGCAACAGAGAAACACTAACTAAACTAACAGAGAAAAACTAACATAAGAAAACTACAGGCAGTCCCCGGGTTACGTACAAGATAGGGACTGTAGGTTTGTTCTTAAGTTGAATTTGTATGTAAGTCGGAACTGGTACATATTGTAGGGGAAACTCTAGCCAAACATTTCTCCAGAGCTCAGTTTTATTCTCCCACACCTCACTTCCCTCAGTCCTTTATTCTCAAGCTGAGGTGTCTGCTGAGAAAAGCCGCTCTGCGTCTCCCTGGTCTGCTGGGGAGGGGCGCTAGCTTTGCGTCTCCCTGGTCTGCTGGGTGGAAGCAGGTAGTGCGGGGTTCCCTCACCCTGTTTGTAAGTAGGGATCCGATGTAAGTCGGATCCATGTAACCCGGGGACTGCCTGTATATGCAATTAACACAAAAAACAAAGTCCCCTGACAAAATAGAATAGTGCTAACGGGCAGTAAGAAAGAACTGAAGGGACACGAGGTCAGCTGGGCTCTTTATATTGGATGCTACGAGCACATGGCACCAGATGGTGCCAGAGCTGATTCAAGTATCACTGAAGGAAAAAATCTTCCAGCAACTATACCTATGACATGAAAGTATTTACATAGGAATGGTCGTATACAAGCACTTTGTTCTCTGAAAACATCCACTCAATGTGAAGCAGCAGTCAAAAAAGCTAACAAGGTGGGAATGATTAAGAATAGCCAATAACATAGAAAATATATTGTGTCTATATACATTTATGGTACACCCACATCTTGAATCATGCATGCAGATCTGAACATCCAATCTCAAGAAAGATATATTGGAAAAAGGTACAGAAAAAGGGCAACAAAAATAACTGGGGATATGGAACAGCTTCCCTATGAGGGAAGATTAAAAGGACTGGGACTTTTCAGCTTGGAAAAGAGAACTTGGAGGGGATATGATATGAAGTCTATCAAATCATGACTGGTGTGGACAAAGTAAGTGTTAAATTTATTCATAACACAAGATATAGGGGGGACTAAATGAAATTAATAGGTAGCAAGTTTAAAAAAAAAAGTATTTCTTCACAATGCACTGCCTATACAATTCTACATCAAAGGATATTATGAAGTCCAAGACTATAACTGGGTTCCAAAGAGAACTAGATAAGTACATGGAGGATAGGCACATTAATGACTATTAGCCAACAGACAGTAGGTGATGGACCACTTGATGATTATCTATTTGTTCTGTTCACTGCCTCTGAAGCACCTGGTATTGATCACTGTCAGAAGACAGGATAATGGGCTAGATGGATCTTTGTTCTAACCCAGTATAGCTCTTTTTATATTCTCAAATTACAGAAGGGACATTTAGACTGGGTATTAGGAAAACTTCCTGTCATGGTAGTTAAGCAAGGGAATAAACTGCCTGGGAAGGCTGTGAAACATACTTCATTGTATTACCCGCTTCTAAAAAATCTCCAAACACTTGGCAGGACGGTCTAGATAATACTTAGTTTGGCCTGCAGGGGGCTGGACAAGACGACTTCTCAGGGTCTCTTGCAATCCTACACTTCTGCAACTATGTAGGGTAAAAAAAAATAATAAACCTAAATTAAAGATATGAGCTTTAATGTTTTTAAAGAAAGGAGGCACTGGTGTTTCTCAAACTAATCAGTACTAAGAGTTATGTCAAAAGTCACAGGTGGGCTTAGCAGCTCCAAAATATCAACTATTAATTTCAAAATACATTTTCATATAGTGAAGGATGCTAGGGATGAAAAGGGTTAACCAATTACCCAGTAAGCATCCAGCCAGGCTGCTCCAGCCCACCTGGGCCTGCCATGCCATGGGACCTCCCCAGCCCAACTGGGCCTGCCGCACCACCTGTTGGATCTCGATCAACCAGTAAACTTAATGTTTAACTAGTTGATTTATAAAACAGGATTTTTACATCCCTCAAGTATGCCTGACAAAAGTCACTGGTCTCTTATATTGGTTTAAATTAAAATTCGGGTTGTCAAGCAATTAAAACATTTAATTGTACAATTAATCGCACTGTTACACAATAATAAGACTCCAGCTGACCCCAGGCTACGAGTTGTGCTGCCCCGGTGTTTCAAAAGGGCAGCACAATGCGGAGCCTGGAGTCAGCTGGAGTCCCCAGCTGATCCCAGGCTCTGCTCGTGCTGCCCCTTTGAAATGCACTGGCGTTCTCGGGTTCCCGCTACGCTGCCCCTTTGAAATGCCCTGGTGGTATTTCAAAGGGGCAGCACCATGGAAACACCTGTGATTAACACGTTTAGAAAATTAACATGTTAATTGTGCTCTGTGTTAATCACAGGCGTAACTGACAGCCTTAATTAAAATCTGTTACCATGCTGAGCAATAACTTTGTAAGGTTTCAGAGCCACTAACTTATCTTTGTGAGCTGCAGCATAAGCCATTATCTTATACATATTCCTAAATGAAGAAAAAGCCATCAAGAAAGGTCATTAGAGAAAGGTCAGTAAACATTATGCTAGCGTTCAAAAGGTGCATCCACAGGATAGAACAACTCCTAGAATATCCAGTCTTAAAATATGACATGAGCGCACAGTTTATTACTAAGAATGTGATAGGTAAATACGGTTAATACTGCTAGAGAAGAAAAAAAATCTGCAATTCAAGGTGGAGAAAATTCATTTGATTTTAATATTTAGCTGGGCTACATCTAGACTGCCCCCTCTTGCACAAGAAAATATGCAAATGAGGCAAAGCAGTGAATATCACCATTCCTCATTTGCATACTTAATGAGCCACCATTTTGTGCAAATGCCCCTTGCGCAAGAGGGGACAGTCTAGACGTAGCCCTGCATTTTAAGATTAAGAATATAGGATAAAAAAATAAATCTATAAAGTGAAATAAAGAAATTACAAAACCACCAAATGTTGAGTCAAGGAGTTCTTAACTTCTTGAAAAGCCACCAGAACCAAAGTACTAAAAGGTAGAACGAAACTAAGATTTAGTACAGGGTTAAGTGTAAATTCTAATGTGACTTCATAGTGAGACTATATCCTATCCCCCTATCTAGGCAAAACCTTAGATTATAACAACTTACTTTTTAATCCCTTCTGTTCTTTTCTGCCTTTCTCTTCCTTTTCAGACTCGTACCGTTTCTGGGACTTTTCTTTTGTTTCATTTTTCTTTACTTCCTTTTCCTGATACTGAAGACAAAAGATAAATTAATGTGATATCAATCAGTATTTCTCAACCTTTTTTTAAAATAAAGTACCCCTTTTTTAAAAAATAAAATTATATGTACCCCCAGTACCTACAGTTCTCAAACACACAGTTTTGTTTTTTTTCCTACCACTGCACCACATTTGTTTAAACAACTTAATAGTAGCCAGGCAGGCGATGAAATTTTTGGGTATAAAAAGTACAAAAATAATAAAGTGCTATAAAACTTAACACAAAAATTCAGTTTTCTACAAAGTTGTGTTGACGTATCCCCCAGACTTCTCTCGAATATCCCTATGGGTACTTGTACCACTGGTTGAGAAACACTGCAATAAAAGATATTACCATATCCACTTTGTCTCTCTAATTTTGGCTGAATGCATTCTAAACAAACTATCTGTAGAAAGAGTTTTACATAGGATTTAAACACTTAAGCTAGATAGCACGAAGAACGGTGTTTCCCAATTTTATTTAGCCAGGGAACCCTTTTTGGCTTGAAAGAATTTCAAGGAACCCCTAGGTTCCGAGTCAAAAACAAACAAAAAAAAGCCTTACCATGATTTGTTGAGCAAAAAAAACCCGCTGCGATTTGTCTCTGTCTCTTTAAGAGAGTGCAGGGGAGTGCCAGGTTCTCGTAGAACCCTTACTTTTGCTGTGTGGAACCCAGGGGTTCCACGGAGCATCAATTGAGTAACACTGACAGAGCATGACAGTCTTTAACAATGTTTAGGTTCCAGCAACAGGTCTAGGAAGAGCAAGAGGCTCATTTAAAAAAAACACAACGTTTTAAATTAGGGACGTAAAATCCCATGTAATTGGTTAAGAAGTTAAACATGATGCTTGACCAGTTAACTGATTAAGGAGGGAGGGAGTAGGCTGGAGTGCCCCCAGCACCACAGGGAGGGACTGCTCCAGACAGCCAGAGCAGCCCCTGACAGCAACACGCCCAGATCCACCACAGATATGGCTGCTCCAGTTGGTTTTTAAAAAAAAAAAAAAAAAAAAAAAAGAAAAGAAAACACAGATGGCATGTCAGCCATAATACATAAGAAAACTTCGTAGCAGGATAACTGGACACACATTAGATAGCTGAAAGTCTTACTATATAAATAAGGGGAAGGACACCAAACAGAAGATGATCGCATGTACAAGGTAAGTGAAAAATGGCTAGAACAACGTAAGCGTTGTTTAGAATGAAAGTTAACCAGCTTTCAAACAATGAAAAACAGGGAGATTTATATTATACTGACCAGTAAAAAAAAAAAAAAAAAACACAAAAAACAAAAAACGACAAGGTAACTGACTATAGAATACTTACTTTTGAACGAAATTTGAGATTACCTTTGATAAAGCGATTCTTGCTTTTAATATGTCCTCCACATTCAGACCACTCTTCTCCCCTAATATAGTCCCTTCTTTATTATGTTCAGCATAGGGAAAATTTTTCAAGCAGTCTCCCCTACAGAGTGTACAGTGGGCTTCTCTGCCATTTTACCCTTATTAACTCTCCCAATTATACTTTTGTCTTTGCCATCCAGAAACAGTAAGTTTTTTAGGTGTTTGAAGTATGTCCCTGGAATAATGTATGTCTGATTTAAACTTTATTTTTTCAATTTTGTAACACTGCTTACCTCTCCAAATGAATCAGTCGACTTCCGCCCTCTCTCATCAGTACACGATTTCAAACTTTTTTGCACTAAAGCAGGTGTAGAAGAAACTTTGTCTAACTCTACAGAAGTTTTTGCCTTTTCTTGAGCTTTTTGTTTTTTGTGCATGTTTTTCTTCTCCAAATAGCTGTCCTTTGTTTCCACTTTTTTATTTTCTTCTTTATAATCCTCAACCTTTTTAAGTTTCTTCTTTTTCCTTTTAACCTTAAGTTCAATGCTATCTTCTTCAGTACTTGCTGATCCATCTGGCTGCCTGTCACCAATGGTATCCTTCAGAACAATTTCCTGTTCAGATTTCTCTTTTCCACTTTTTATTGTTTGTTTCTCCTCTCTACCCTCAGTACACAAGTCTGAATTTTCATTATCAGCTGCTTGAGAAAATGAATCATCTATGGCACTTGACTCAGAGTCAAACTGAAGGTCACCATGTTTTTCCTTTCGCAGTTTTTTATTTTCTTTAGAATCCTCTTTACATTTTGTCTTTAAGTCTTTAATTTCTCCCTTCTTTTTCTTGGTTTCTTTAGATTCTTCTTTCTTTTGCTTCTTAGGATCTTTTGAATCTTCCTTGGTTTCTGAAATTCTTTTCTTTGGTTTTGAATCTAAAATCAAACTATCTGATGAATTTTCACGTTCAAGTCTGGGTTTCTCTTTGACTTTAGCAGACTTTGATTTTTTCTTTTTCATATCATCTGAGCTTCTATCCTCCCCATCTTTTGATTTTTTCTTTTTCTTCTTTGGCGATGTGTCGTCTTTTGCTTCACTTTGCCAGTCACTGTCAGATTCTGCCTCAAATAAGTCATCATTTAAAGACAGCTTCTATAAAATGAAGAAAAACAAAAATGTTCCTTTACTCCTTTCCCAATTAAACTTTTATTTAGATACTGCAGTACGCACCACTGTTATACATGTTTAACCCCAGAGTGACCAAACCCAGATAATGAAAGATATCAAAATTTTAAACACATATGCAGCTTCCAGTGGTTATTTCTATTTTAGCTCATCATCACTAAATCCTCTTTGAAATGGGACTAATCAAAATGTATTAACAAACAATGCATGTCAGCAGGATCAGCGTGGACAGATAGTCCATGGCAGAATAGTGCAGGGAAGTTACTACCTCTGTAAGTGGCACATGGAAGAAAAAAAACAAACACACAGGATGCATTTATGCTGAGCAGCAAAACAGAGCACAAACTTGATTCTAGACTTATCCATGTAGCAAGAGTCAGTCCTGTTCGACACTTGAAACTTTGGACTGACCTAATTCCCAGTGCAGAGATAACAGGCTGACAGAAGTATTCTTCCATCAGATTAGCTACTACTACTTAGGAAGGAGGATTACCTCCCCTGCAGAAAACACCCTTCTGTCAACGTAGAAAGTGCCTATATTACAGTGTGACCGTGGCATAGCTCCAGCTGTGCTGCTGTAGCATCCATACATGTAGACATACTCTAATTAACTTGACATTGCAATGGTGACCTACTGATTCTCCTGAAGTAAGGCACTAGATTCCAAAGAAACCTGTTATAGGTTATTTTAAAGCCCATTAGTATGTCCACCGGGATATAAACAGTCAGGGCTGGCCTGCATCAGCTGACTTGGGCTTAGAGGGCGCTCAGGCTACCAGGCTATAAAATTGGACTAAAGCCCAGCAAGGGGAGGGCGGGGAAGGACCCTCAGCCTCAACATTGCAATTTTATAGCCTAACAACCTGAGCTCCATGAGCCCAAGTTAGCTGAAATAGGCGACCTGCAGGGCACTATTGTAATGTATATATACACCCTATAATAAGTAGGGATGTGAAAGTGTAACCATATACACGGTTAACCAATGAGCATGGGCTCCCATTATGCACTGGCTCCTGCATGCACAGGCTCCTGGGGTGTCGCCTGCCTCTCTCCCTCTCACAATACTGCCTTGTATCACAGGCAGCAGCCCTCCCCTCCTGCCCCATGGAACCACTGAAATTTTCAGTGGTTACATGTTTACTTGATTAAATGTATTTTAACATACCGGATAAGAACATCTTAAAAACCCATGTTCCCATCATCCATTGCAATTACTATAAATTAAACAGAAACAAAGAAAAATTCCAGGGATTAGTAGGCAATGTATATAATCTCCTTCCAAACAAACCAGAGATGGAAAGTACTGCTTCAAAGAATGAGCGAGCTAAGGGTTTTGGCTTAAAGAGGACAGGGTTTGGGTGTGGCGATAACAAAAATATTTGCATTTAACTGCTTGCTGAGAGTTGATTAGATTTGCCTATTACCATGTAAATAACCTCAGTTACACTTTGAGATTAATCTGGATAAGAAATTTATTCTCTAGTTTAGGGGTCGGCAACTTTTCAAGAAGTGGCATGCGAAGATTTAACTTATTCACTTCAATTTACAGATCTGTGTGCAGATGGGGTGAGGTGGAGCAGGGGCAGGGCCAGGCTGGGTCCGGTGACCTTATTGTCTGAACCAGCTGCAGCTAGGGTAAATGATTTAATTTAAATTATTAAACAGATTAAGCATTTTTTTTGTATGTTAGTTTATCAAACTTCATTTTATATAAAGTAAAATATTAATTTATATCCAACACAAAAGATTTCAATTTTTTCTTTATTTATGGCAGGGGGGGGGAACCTTTTTTGGGTTGGGGACCAATGACCCACAGAAAAATCAGTTGAGGACCACACAAGTGAGAAGCAAAAAAACTCTTCAAAAAACCCCAACCCTCACCGATGTGGCACCCAACTGAGATACCTCACTCTTTTGGTGCTCCAGTCCCACAGGTCAAGGGGAAGGGACAAGGAGGTTCAGGGAACAGAGGTTCAGGGCTTCCCATAGGCCAGATTTATTTTTCTAAGGTTTCAGGGTTAGTGGATTTTGGGGACCCCCTTAGGCTCTGGGATGGGGACAAAAATGAAGGGTTCAGGTGTGCAGGACAGGGCTGCCAGTGAGTGGGATAGGGTTGAGTGTGCAGGATCTGGGTGGGATGCAAGAGGGAATGAGGAGGGCAGGGTCTTAAATAGAGTTTGGTGGCAACAGAGGGTGTGGGGTGGAAGTACAAGAGGGAGTTTGGAGGCAGGAGGCAGTTGGGGAAGTAACATGTGAGAATGCAGCCAAATAACTGCACTACAAAACCCTTGTGGCTGGTTGATTATTGTGCTCCCAACTCTGGAAGTGGAATGAACACTGGTGCCTTTCTGGATTATGATGGAGATTTGTGGTTCTTATGGCAACTATATAGCTCTGAAACTAAGTAAAAGAAGAACTCTGATTCCCTTTTATATGTAGATGTTGAAGCAGCTGTGTAGCTTAAAAATCCTAAGCCAGCGAGTATTCAATATCATAAAGGGGTGAGGTCTTCCTCAGCTCAGCTTGTTTTCTGGCAATCCCAATGAGGTGGTGTCAGTAACTGAAGGGGCAGAACAGGATCTGGAGGAGCCTGATCCATGGAAAAACAAAGAGCCCCAGAAACACACAGCTCAGCATTCTGGGGGAAAAAAAACGAATGAGGGTCTGAGCTGCCAGCAGAAATATGCACTGGCATTAAAAGCAGCTACTCTGCTGGAGACCGGGATGGAAGCAAAATGTCCCAGCTCTCATACCAACGCGCACTACATGTTATTGAACAATGTACAGACCTGCCAGCTTTCCAGCAATGCCTGCAAATGGGCTGAAATTTTCATTTGCACAGAATGAAAAGGTGTAAAGAAAATCGTGCTGTGACAGAGGAAGGGAGGCAAAAGAGTGGGGAGTAAAGGAAAGTGCAGCTTCTGCAAAGGTAACTCATATCCCTCCCTCACATCTTCCCTCTGCTCCAGCCTTGCTCCCCTCAGCCCCATTATACCCCCCAGCCTGATCCCCCCCATCACCCCATTCCCCCTCAGTGCAACCCCTGCCCCTTCCCATCCTGCCCCTGAATGCTCCTTCACCCCTTCTCCTACAGCCCTGTGCCCCCAGCACATTCACCGGCAGGACAGCAGTACTGGGACTTGCCACCTCCTGGGAACAGAGAGGCAGCGGGAGAGGGAGGAGTAGAGTTTCTTCTCTGCCTGGACCAGCCCAAATGACCAAATGACTGGAAGACCCCCCCCCCCCCCACCTCTGTTGCCCCACTGCAGCAGCACTGGGACTAACAGTCCCTGGGAGAAATTCTGGGGTGGCAGGGGGAAGGAGGAGAGCCTGGCCCAGCCCTTTGCCCGGGGCTCACCCCTCACCTACAGGCTGCGGCTCTAGAGGTGGGGCACACAGAGCCTGGGGCTGGTTCCAGCCCAGTGGGGTGCTGGGGAAAGGGCTCTCTGCCCCTGAACATACCTCACAGGGAGCAGCATGTCGCAACCCAAGCCCCGGCACCCCATGTGAGACTGGCCACCCAGCCCCAAACTGCGGAGCAGCCCCAGTCCTGTCCCCTCCAGGACAGGTTGGAGTCAGTGTTAACCCCTTAGCTCTCAGGAGCTGCATGCCTAGGCTGGGCAGGGACAGCCCGGCCCAGGGATGAGGAACTCAGTGCAGGGTATTGCCTGGTCACCCTGACCCCTACACCATGCCATATGTTCCTCTCCCCACCCCCTTAGCAGGAAGCTGAAGCTGGTGCTCCAGCCTGCAGCTGGTGCTCCAGCCTGCAGCTGGACAGCAATCCTGAGACCTGAGCCACTGCACAGGGGTGAGAGGCAGGGCTGAGCTCCCATCTCTTGTGCCACAGAAAGCTTGCTCACATGCCACTTATGGCACACGTACTGCAGGTTGCCAACCCCTGCTCTAGCTGATGCTGAAAGTTGTCTAAGAAACAATGGCAAGGTGGAGGTTTAAAAAAAAGTGCAAAACAAAAGACTGCTTTAAATCAGTGGTTCCCAACTCTTTTTATACCACAGAGCAGCAAACCCATTCACAAACTTTTGACGGACGGGTAACATTTGTTTGCATGTTCCTTATGCAAATAATGAATATGCAAATAATATGTTACTGGCCCACCACAACATGTACTCTGGCATCCAGAACTGCCGCGAACAGCTGGCTTCGGCTATGGCAGCTGCCCGTCACATGACAGCTGCCAGAGCTGAAGCCAGCTGCTATGTGATAGCTCAGGGGGTCGGGGTTTACCCCACTCTCCTGAGCTGCCACACAGCAGTCAGCTTCCAACCCAGAGCTGCCATGAACAACCAGCTTCAGCTCCAGCAGCCTCTGGCCATTCGCCTGGGATATATTCCAAGCCCATGGATCTGGTCTAGCAGCGTGTCATGGTCCAACAGCCAGTGGTCTGCAGACCAGTGGTGGGGAACCACTGCTTTAATCTAAAAGGGCTATTCATAATGGTCTCCATTCCTGACGCCCTACCTGAAAAAGCCTACTCCACAACAAAAAAAGACTGTGGACTGGCTGCCTGTGGCCTTGTGCTACTGCTTCTGAGAAAGAGGCAGCAGCAGTCCCTGATTGGGGTGAGCGGATGGGGGGGGGAGAGGGGAAGAATGAGCTCCAGGACTCAGCACAAGCCAGAACTGAGCTGGGCTGCCTGACTGCTCGGCTCTAATTACACTTGAAATGTGGATCTGAAACGGGGGTAAGTCCCGGACCCAGTGAGAGCCAGGACTGAGTTGGGCTGCCTCCCCACTTGACTCCCAACACACTTTAAACGCAGAGCTGCAGCAGAAGTAGGTCCCAGACCTGTACTTAGCCAGGCTGCTGGCCAGCCTGCTAAAAGTGTACTGGCAGGGAGAGGGAAATGCATGTAGTCTATAGCATTAACCTACTGGCTTTTGCTCATCAGTTAATCGACTACACTATTGCATCCCCAGTACAATTATTCCACTGCTACACACACACAATCTATTAAAGAAAAATAATCCCTAGCTATAATTCTAGCTTTCAGAAGATAAAGCCATTATCAATCTATGTCAATAGTGTATTCAAAAATCTAGTTTACTTCTGTAGCCATATTGTGTGAAAAAGTTAAGCATTCCGATATACAAAATAAACTTGTAGTCTTTCAGCATAAGGAAATCAAAACCAGAAGGAGAGTGTGCAAACATATAGCAGGCATTATAGGAAGATTACATGTTCAGATGCAAAATATATTCATCAAAACTTAAGTGTTAAAGAATATTTTCAAGTTACAGGAGAGCCAATTTTATGCTGAAATGTATAAAAATGTCAGGCTAGATCTACACTGCAGGCTTTTTGTGCAAGAACATTTGTTCTTGCGCAAAAACTTGCAGAGCATCTATACTGCACACATGTTCTTGCACAAGTAAATTTACAGTAAAGCATCAGAAAAGAAGGCTTCTTGAGCAAGAGTTATTCCTCTCCCTACGAGGAATAAGCTCTCTTGTGCAAAACAGTTCTTGCACAAGAAGCCTACAGTGTAGACGTAGCCTCAATGTTTAGAACTAGAAACAAAGATCACTATACTTTTCAGAGGTCACACTTCGTTATTTACATAGCCTGAGTTTACTGCACATAGAGAGGTCTCTTCAATCCGCCTCATAAGCTTTGTGTGTTGCTCTCCCATTCATTTTCTTTTTCAGAGATTTTCTGCAATTCTCCACAATCTCCCCACTGCCATGGCTTTTGCATGTCTAGTCCTAGCGTCACTCCCCACCACCCCGAAGCAAGGACTGTATGGTCTCCCCTTACCAGATTCCTCACTCTCCATCATCTATGACAGGAGCACTGTATGCACTTATTCCCCTCCCCCCCCCACACCAGAGACCCCAGTAAATCAGTGTGATTAAGAAGCCAAGTGGGGACATTTTTATGCCACAAGATATTAACGGATGCCATAAACTAGCTGCTTGATATACAGACAATTGCAGAAGAGCCTAAAAACAACGATTGTGGTAATCTGATGATAGGGTTTTCGTTTCTTGCCTTTTAGTTTTTTAATTTCCTCCAAAATCAACAGGGTTCTGTCCACTGATGCCTTGAATATTCCCAATTACTTTGGAATTGATTAGATGCAGTCTTCCCACGTTAATCATATTATATACAGAGAAATACCATCAAATTAAAACGTAAGGCTCTCAAACTTGGCCAAAAAGGAAATGAATGGCATTTCTAAATATAAGAGATTTCTGTCATTTTACCCCAAGTTTTAACTAACAGTCACACCCAAAGCAAGCACACAATGGTCATTTCAATAATAAAGGCCTCTACAGCAAAGACATTTTGATTGTATTTTAGGGTATACACACCACTCAGATCACCTGATACCAAAAAATGAGGCCTAAAAAGAAAATGACTTATTTAATGGAAGGTGGGGAGAAAAGAGACATACCAGTATGTCCTTTTTAACAGGCTTAGGCTTATTATCCACAATTTTTTTTCTGAATTCAAGTAGCACTTCTTTACAGTCTTCCAGATGAACCTCTGGTTCCCAGGTATCATCATCCGAGGTATATCCCTTCCATCTCACTTTGTACAGAATTTTACCCTGTAAAGAGCAAAAAATACATACTAAAAAGTTTATAGGAGAGTTTTTAAACAGTAATGACTTGCTCTTGTGAATCTTAATGCACAATGGTTAAGTCTATAAAATATTAGAGTAAAAAAATGTTAATTCTGAAAAAGAGATGAGCTCTGTATTGCTGTTTGCATGAATGATAACATGTCCTCATCATGTGAAGTACTGTGCAAAAGATGTTTTAAATAGAAGTATAAGACTTATTTCTTAACAGCAGTTTACTAAACTTCTGTTAACCATTTAGTTTTGTCCAAAGTTCTTTGCTGCTTCTCCAAACAAATGTAGCAATTTCATATTACAATGCTGAACAATTCAGTTTCCTAGATCAGGATACACCTTGATGGAACACACAAATCAACTGTGCAAGAATAAAGTCTGTTACAAGTATTCACTTTTGTACTTCCCTGGCTTCACATAGCAGCACACATGCCCAAAAGCACGTGAATTCAAGTGCAGGGTGCATAAAAAAGGATTTAAAAATTCATGATTTAAATGTTAATTCTTTATTTTCTTCCCATTTTATTCTCATCTTGCTAAAATAAGAAGCTTTTGCTCTTCAGTTTTAATCTGCAGAACTATTTCGTTTTCCCTCTACATTTTGACTTTCTCCACAATCAGGGGGTCTATAAAAATTGTATATATAATGCAGAATTAGACATATAAAAAACACAGACTACTACTCAATACTTCAGAATCTCCTTCATCCTTCAGAATCTCCTAACTGCACTGCTCAAGGAATGCAAAAAATCCACCCCCTTGAGTGAAGCAAATAAACTGGCCTAACCACCCATGTGTGGACAAAGGTAGGAGGACAGGAGAACCACTCCTATCAGTGTAAGTAGCACCTTCACTGAAGCAAACCCTAAGAATAGGTCAACATTTCAAAGAAAGTAACTTAAGTTGGGAACATTATTACAGTGAAACCTTTATCATCAGGCACACTGTTAACCGGCATTGCCCTCAGCCACAATACTATCACATCTTCAGGCGCACAGGCCTGGCTTGATTTACCATGATTGGCTTAACAATATTTGATTTAAGTGCTAATCATCTAACTCAAAACAAATGTGAGACCAACTGCTTCACACTACAAAACTACCAATATTAAAAACTGAGTTTTACTATTATTGTCCATTGGTTTTTCCTACGTTGATGGGACCCTCAGATAACCAGAATTTTTAGATAACCGGAATGCCCACACCCAGAGTGTGCCGAATAATACAGGTTTTATTGTATTTACATGTATGTATTCAGGGCTTGACAGACTCTGTGTCCCAAATGGATCCATGAAAAATAACTAGAAACCACTACAGGAAAAGTAATTTTATACAAAAGCGATGAGAACTTAGAATACTTGTAATGAATTCATGATTTAAGCTATATTCAGAAACAACTGGATGTTCAAGAGGTATTAAACAATGTGTTCAAGGAGCTAATACATTTACTAAAGAACCATGTTTGTCACAATCTTATCCCAGTGAGCCACTGATCGAGGAAAAGGATATTTCTGCAATGTTTTTGACCACTGCAACTACTGGGGAAAAAATTGTTAACATGATTTTATTAAAAACTAGCAGATGAGGCTCATCCATTGACTAGGCAAAGTCATTTTGCATAGATTATACTTGCAGGAATGTTCAAGAAATTAAAGATACATAATAGAATTTTTTATTAATGTGCTTGCAAAAAGGAAGTAAACAATTTTAAATTTGTAGGATTTCAACGTTATACATCATTCATTTTATTGAATGATTACTATACATAGTAAATTTGAATCAGAAACTCATAAAGCTTCCATTACTACTCTTTCCATAACTAATCTGAATGATTTTGCGATTTGTAACAGTAAATAGTTTCTTTGCACTAAAATGACAGTTGAATAGGCAATTCAATTTTAATTTTGCTAGCAAATATTTTTATGAACTCTAATAATAAGTCATGACTTTTTTACGATTAAAACAAAAATAATTATTTAAACCTTTCACCGAGCTTATTCCAGTGTAAAAAGTAGTGCACTCAGCTAATTTAAGTGGCGGGATTGTATATGCAAAATTTGGTATCTGTAGGTAATTGCGAAGTATGATGTTATTTTGCACAAACAAATCCATAAACTCTTCAAAACATATAGGTAATTCTTCCATCCAAAGCTACAAACTGCCATATTTTATATTAGGATTATATAATAAAAGTATTACAATACAGCACTATTTATATGGGCTTATAGCCTAAGTTAAAAAACAAACCTGACCTGCAAGAATCCATATATCCTCAAATATTAACAATTATGTCACTGATGGTTCTACAATTGGGACTTAAAAATCAAAGTATTTTAAGAACAATTTTCTGTTAGTGTTACTTTAACAATGATTCTCCTTTGTGCCTTTATTCCATTCAACACACAAGAGTTTCACTATTTTCTGTAGTCAGATACGAAGGGTTTGACTCTTCCTACTTGAGATGTGATGCTCACTGATCTACTAGGTAGCCACAAATCTACAGTACAGTTTGGTCAATTTCATGTATGGGAGGGGGGAGTTGCAGTACTGCTACTTTTCTTTCAAACCTGCTACTAGAAGCAATGCTGCCTTCAGAGCTGGGCAGCTGCTGAGCAGGAGCCAAGAATTGAAGGCAGAGCCACTGCCAGCAGAAACACAGGAGTAAAGATGGTATGGTATTTAACTGCCACTCTTACTTCTTTGCTGCTGCCTGAAGAGCTGGGCCCTCAGTCAGCAGCCACCACTCTCCTGCTGCCCAGCTCTCAGGGCAACAGCACACAAGAAAGGGAGGCATGACATTGCTACCCTTATTTCTGAGCTGTTGCTGGTGGGATGCTTCTTTCAGAGCTAGGCACCTGGCCAACAGCTGCCTCTCAGCTGGATGGCAGCACAGAAGTAAGGGTCACAATACAACCCTCTAAAATAACCTTGTGACCCTCCTACAACTCTCTTTTGGGTCAGGACTCTCAATTTGAGAAACTATCTCTCACATGAAATTAGTTTAGTACAGGTACTCTCTGAGTTACAAACATCCAAACATACAAACAAAAGTTCAACTGTAGTTTCAGGGGAACTGGTAGTGACGAGCAGCACAACTACTGGCTGGAAGACTCCAGAGGAGCAGAGAGTGGTCACACAAGGAGCAGCTGGAGAAAAGCTGTCCTGTGAAGGGGAAACTACTGCTTCTCTACATCTTCTGGCTGCATGGCCACTCCCTTCTCCTATAGAGTGCTCTGGCCTGTAATCACTGCTTCGTGGTGAACAGGATCTGGGTGAAGCCACAGGAAGGAGGGAGGGTGTCTGGTGCAGAGCCTGTGGGGTGGGGGAGGTGGCAGCCAGGGGATGCTCAGAAGTCCCCTTCAGAATCTCCACCTGCTAGGGATGTAAAATCTGATTTAATTAGTTAACCGGTTAAACTTTTATGTTTAACCAGTTAAACAGGGGTGGACCCCTCCACAGACGGGGCTACTCTGGAGTGCACCCCATCTGTGGGGCTGCTCCAGCCCTCATCAATTAACTGTGACTGGTAAGCCTCATCCATTTAGGCATGAGACTTACCTGGGTAATCATTCACATCCCTACCACATACCTCCTGTTTCTCCTCTAATTAAACCCGCCTTTCACTTAAAGTAAAATAAATTATTTCTAGTTATTTTCACTGCAAATATATAGTGTTTAAGCTACATGACAGGTTAAATAGGCTTGTGTGTGCTAACATGGGACTGTAACTACCATTTATAACACTGTTTCTATGGAAAACTGCATTCCGAGTTCCAAACTTTTACAAACTTTTAGAACACAACTTGTTCATAAATTGGGGGCTTCCTATATTGGGTAAAAGCAAGCAGAAGACCAGATTTCAAGGGGAGAGACTAAGTTTCACGGACTGTGATGCTTTTTTTCCATGGCTGTAAATTTGGTGGGTCCTAGTTATGCTAAGTACTTAGCAAATCTAAGCAGGCTTTTTTTTTAAACTTAAGAATTTGTTTTTACTTAAAGCAAAGTACTTTACGTTAACTCAAACTGCCTTAAGCTATAATGGCCTACAAAGGTGGAAACAAAGAGAACAGAAACTCAAATTCAAGCCCATGCAAGATGCTGTCCTGTTACCTATGGTCATAGCATTTGAAAATGAAGGTGCTTATGACACAGTGAGGGGAACAAATGGGGAATCATCCGGCCTGAAGGCATCAGATGCTTGGTTGCTCCACTCACCATTAGTCTACAACTCAAGAGATGTAGAACACCTGGCCAAGGGAGAGGAAGGGTAAGAGATAAAGATGCAGGGAGAAGGTGTTGTGGGAAAAGGGAGTAAGTCAAGGGTGCTTCTGTAGGAAAGGAAAAGAGAAGGGAATGAATGGAAGTAGTAACGGGCAGCGCAGGCCCCACAACAGCAGCGAGGTCCTGCTGCAGCAGGAGAGCTGAGCACTCTTGGCCCCCATTATCCAGTCGCTACTCCATCCTCACCAGCCCACTTCTCTCACACACTAGCACCCCATCTCCTCCCGGCCGGTGCTGTCCTCTTCCGCCCCGAAGAGCCAGGTCTCATTCATTGGCCCAACCCTTCACCCCCCCACCCCCACCCCTCAGCCCGGCTGGGGGTCCTGCTGCAGCAGGAGAGCTGAGCACTCTTGGCCCCCATTATCCAGTCGCTACTCCATCCTCACCAGCCCACTTCTCTCACACACTAGCACCCCATCTCCTCCCGGCCGGTGCTGTCCTCTTCCGCCCCGAAGAGCCAGGTCTCATTCATTGGCCCAACCCTTCACCCCCCCACCCCCACCCCTCAGCCCGGCTGGGGCGCCCCTCATCCGCGCCCCTCCCCCCGCTGCTCCCGCATGTCCCCGCCCGGGGCCCCT